GGGGGCGGCAGGCCCTGCAGACCCTCAAGGTCAGTGCAGGGCTACAGGGAGGAGGAGCGGAGAGATTGATGTCACATCCCGTGACGCTGTTTCCCGGAGCAAAGCATGCCCGGCAGGGGCCAAGGAGGAAACCCGCCGTGGGAGACGTGGCTGAATCATGCCCTTGGGGTTGCTTGCTCTGGGCTCTCTGCCCGTGGCCCACCAAGGGACAGTAGCTGCGCCAGGTCCTTGTGTTATGTTAGGCCGCGGCAGTGCCAGGTCTCCATGGGGCACCTGGCTGTGTGTGGGCAGCAGCCCTCATGCTGGGGAGCCTGGCACAACCCTCCAGTAGGCCTGGCACCACATGTATATCCTAGCTGCCAGACTCACCCATGTCCCCCAGGCCACAGCTCTGTCAGCACCCGCACACCCCTGTGCTGCTGTTGGTGCAAGCTCCCCAGAGGCCCGCATGCCCGTGGCCCGGCAGAAGGGTGGTGCCCACCCTGCCAGGAGCACGTGCCTCCCCACTAGACCCCCAGGCTATGCAGGATGAGGCTCTCCAGATGTGGACACACGATGAGCTGGGAGGAGACCTGTTCCCAGTGAGGTGCGTGTCCACCCCGGCCTCCAGCCTGGGGCAGCCTCTGCCAACACCAGCATGCCAAGTTGCAGGACGCAGCCTTGTCGCCTGCCTCCGTCTCTCCCCTTGCTCCACTCCCCAAAGAGGGCAGACCCCTAAGTCCCAATGGAGCTGAGAAGAGCCAGAAGTGATTTCTGCCCCATAGTGGGAGCTGGCAGGGAATGGGGGCTCTGTGCCCAGGACAGTGAGGGCACCTCTGGGATGTCCACAAGAGTTTTGGAAGCAGAAGGTCAAAGAGATCTCAGGCTTTTGGCATCCCAGCTGACAACAGCAGCTGGATGCTGGATCTGTGCCCAGCCATGCCTGGAAACCAACTTGCTCCTTCTTGGTGGAGACCTTGTTCTGCATGTTCCCTCAGGCGTAGAGAGGTCCATGCTCTGTTCCTGCAGCAGAAAGGTGGGGTCCACAGGGACTTCTCCCAGGCCCAATCTAGTACAGCTGCTCACAGCACCCATCTTTGGGGTGGGGGCAAAGAACAGGCCCTTGCATGGAGAGACATACTATCCCCAGGCAAGAAGGGGCTCACTGTGGCATCTGATGGGGGGTGGCATCCAATCAGAGTGGCATCTGATGGTGGATAGCATCCAGTTGGTGTGGCATCTCATGTATGGGGATGGTGTCTGACCTCTGATTGAGGTGGTATCTGACAGGGATGCCCTCAGTGGCAACTGAGGGTGGTGGTGTCCAACCTTGCTGTCATGCCCTCGCGCTGCTGCGGGCATTGGGGGTTCCCCCAGTGCTGGAGATGGATGTGGAAGGAGGCACCGGGCACAGGGAAGGCAGCCTGGCAAGAGGATGGAAAGCCAAGCGCTTGTGTGGTGGGCACAGGCAGGTATTGCCTGCTCTCCTCTGTCTCGCTCATGCCATGGCCCCTGCTGCGTGGTCCCTGGCACCGGCCCACATCATCTGCAGCACTTCTGCCTTCCATCTGGCTGCCTCATTGCGCTTGTGAATATTCATGACCCTCATTATCCTCTTTCACTCATTTCTCCCACACTCAGGCTAAAAATAACTTCCCAAAGCGGGGGGGCATGCAGGGTGAGGGGATAAATTCTCCTTCCCCTCTTTGGGAGCTGGATAATTTGGGTCTCAGCTCCACCATCTGAGGGGCTGGTGGCCAGGCTGAGGCACAGGGACACCTCTGTGGGGTGATGGGCAGGAGGAGACAGGGCCTGCAGGCCAGAGGGCTGACGGCAGAGCTTTTGGGAGCCGCAGCTGCTTGGCCAGAGCGCCAGGGAAATCAGCACCCTTCACGCCCTGTCTCAGCTCTTGGCTGGGGCTGCCTTCCATTCAGTGGATGCCCATGGTCTCAGCTAGCAAGGGACCCAGGTGGGCTAGAGGAGGCTTGCAGGGCAGGGTGGGGGAATGTCAGGTGACTCCCCAGCCCAACAGAGCATCCCAGTGCTGTGCTGGAGCTGGCTGAGCTGTGGCGGGTAGGCAGAGCCCTCCTGCAGGCCCCAGTGATCTCCCTGCCCACCTGGCGCAGGGACTGTGATTTGGCACTGCCACCCACATGACGCCGGCTGCCTTCGTCCTCGGGCGCCAGCACTGAGCCCTTGCACCTATCCAGCTGTCACCAGGATCACTGCAGCCCTTGGGGGATTAGCGGGAAAGACTTCTGGGACCCTTGCCAGGGTCTCCACTCTGCTGTCACCCCTCCAGCAGCCTGGCTGCTAAACAGTCACCTCCTAAAATAGCCTGTGAGGGCCAACACTGGTGGTCTGCTTCATGCCCTCTGGCTGGTGGAGGTGCAAGAGAGTGGATGCCCTCTGCCATGCCAGTGCCAGTGTCTCTGGCAATGTCAGGGTCACTCTGAGCCATGTTGCAGTGGAGGGCTCTGCTGGCAGAGGCATTGGGTACTGACGGGTGAGCCCAGGTCCCCCTGCCTGTATCCAAGCTACCTGTGGCTGACCCAGCTGGATATGAGCATCTCCTGTGCTGTCCAGCCTCCCATGCTGCCGTATGTGCCCTGTCCAGGAGGTGGTTGCGTCATGGCGCTCACTGCTGGGCTATCTGCCTGGCTTGTGGAGGGGGAACAGGGCGCTTCAGCAGACACAAATGGGCATAGCAGGATTGGAAGGTGCCGACCTTTTTCCCTTGGGACCCCCTGGACCAGCAAGGAGTCCCCCACCTGGGAATGGGCAGGGATTGATGCTGTGCAGAGCTGGGAAAAGGTGTCCAAATGCTAGGGCAAGTGTGGCACTGGGGGAGGACAGTGGGCACAGGGCACTGGCACACTGACACGGGCCCTTTTGCCTTACAGAGCTGAAGGCCACGGGCACAGCACACTTCTTCAACTTCCTGCTCAACTCCAGTGACTACCGTATCCTGCTCAAGGACGAGGACCACGACCGCATGTACGTGGGCAGCAAGGATTACGTCCTCTCGCTGGACCTGCACGACATCAACCGCGAGCCCCTCATCGTAAGCGCGTGCTGTCACCACCAGCAGCAGTGGGCTGGATCCAGGGTGGCTGCCAGAGGAGAGGGTGGCATGGGGCCGAACCAAGTGCCCAGTCATGGGGCCATGGGCTGGAGGTGTCAGGAGCTGGGCAGACATTTTGGAGACTGTAGTCTTGAGTGTAGCAGAGGAGGGTCCCGTCTCTGCCCAGTGATGGCGGAGGACTCAGGAAAGAGCTTAAGGCCCGAGCCAAGCCAGGCCATGAGCGCGCCTCTCCCCTTCATTTGTATTCTTGCAGATCCATTGGCCTGCTTCCCAGCAGAGGATTGAGGAGTGCATCCTGTCGGGCAAGAACAGCAATGTGAGTGTGCTGCGGACAGGCAGAAGTGTCCATGCCATGCCAGCTCCCTAGAACCCTGAGCCTCAGACTGTGGCCAAGGACACCCCAGGGGTTTTGAAGGCCACTGCTAACCCACTTTAGGCACCCTTAGGGAGGCTGATGGCCACCACAGAGCTAGAATTCGTGTCCTCATGTCCTCTCCTGGAAATCCCATCCTCAGAAGACCACTGCAGCTCAGCCTATCTGGGCAGCATCTGCAGCCATGCCAGGACAGGGTGACACTTTTGAGGTGTCACACTATGTCATGTCATCCAGCTCTGCATGGCCCTGCAGGGCCCAGCAGGCCTTCTTGGGCAAGCGCTAGAAAGAAGCAGGAGGCAAAGGTCCCCACATTGCTTCCTCCCACCTACCAGAGCTGTACCCTCAGCTGTGCCAGCCCCATGCCAACCCATGACCCATGCCAGCCCGTGCGTCCTGCCAATGCATGACCCGTGCCTGCCCAAGACTCATACCAGCCTTCCAGCAGCCTCCCAGCCTCCCAGCTTCTTGGCCTGCCTCCTCCTGCTCTCTGACTCTTCCCCCTGGAGCAGATGTTTCTGTGCCCAGGCAACCATACCCCATGGTGCCTGCCCAAGTGCAGAGGCTTAAGCATGGAGGGAAAGGTCTGTGCCCAGTGAGCCTGGGCCCTCCCTGTTGGGTGCATGAGCTGTGATGGGAACTGGCCCCTTCCATGTGCTTGTTGTGGCTAGCACCCCCCTCCCTCTGCTTCCCAGGGGGAGTGTGGCAACTTCATCCGCCTGATCCAGCCCTGGAACCGAACCCACCTCTACGTATGTGGCACTGGCGCCTACAATCCCATCTGTGCCTTTGTCAACCGTGGGCGCAAAGCACAGGTGAGGGGTGGGAGGCTTGGGGAGGCTGAGCTGATGCCCAGGCCTAACTGTGCCTGCATGACCGTCTTGGGGCTGCAGCTGGATGTGGGAGGGCATGGCTGGGTCTGTGCCCTGGGCTAATGTCAGGAAGATTTCAAGGGGGAAGTGGACTGGGGGACAGAGACTTGCTGGTCTCAGATTGGGTGCACCGAGGACTCTGTGGCTAATATTACCATGCCATTGAGTGTTGCTGAGCCATCTCTGCAGAGCAAGGCCTGAGGATCGCTCTTCACACCTGATTTGGGCTGCCCCAGCCGGACCCCAGCACCAGCTTCAATCCTGCTGCCCCATGGGCGCCTCTTGAACAGCATCTGCCGGCGCCTCTTGAACAGAGCGTGGGATACGTCCATGCCTGGCTTTCCACTTGCTGGTGGATCATGAAGGCCCTTGGGATGAAGCAGCCTCCATAGGGATGGAAAGCACCCAGCACTGCACCAGCACTGGCATTTCTCAGGGAGAAACGGCATGGACAGGCCACCAGGATGTGGTGGGCATGCTGTGGTGTCATGCCTGGCATGGGGAGGGGACACTTGCTGCGAGCTGTGCTGGTGCATGAGTGTGCGTGGCGGTGCTGCACCTGTGCCCTGCACTGCAACATTCCCAAATGCTGGTGAGAGAGGATGAAACTGGCCAGATCCTCATACTGACAACCGTGGTGTAAGCCGAGAGGGCAGCTGTGAAGCTGTATGGCATCGAGTGGCCTCATGGTAGTAGGAGGGTCCCAGGAGGGAGCGCTGATTTCTCCAAGCGCTGGTGCAGGGGCAAAGGGTGCCCTCAGTGACTGCTGTAGCATACAGTAAGGGCGGCTGAGGGACGCCGCTTGCTGGACTGGTGGTCCACACTCTGCGAGGTGTCCATCCCCTCAGCACTGGTGTCGCAGATCCTGGGTTATGGCATAGCCTGATCAGAATGAGCCACACTCTGAAAGCCTGAGCCAAGGGAGGTGCATGGTGCAGTATGTGGAGGAAGGGGTCTGCCCAACACAGGCACAGTGACAGTTGGTAAGGATCAGTACCACTCCTGGATCGGGCCTTTGGGCAGCACTTTTTGGGCTCTGCAGCATTTGAGGAGGATTGAGGGGATCCCCGTTGCATTGAGTAGCAGTGCGCTCCCCCAGAAGCAAGACTGTCATGTCTTCCCTCTCACTGCATGCAGAGCAAGAGGTCCTGTCTGAGTCCCAGAGAATGCGATGTGGTAGGGAGAGAGGATCCTGAGTCCAGGGGCCAGTGAGCCCACAACACCGATAGCTTTCCTCGTCTTGCTGTCTCTCCCATGAACACTGAGTCAGGGCCTCACTCCTCCACAAGGGAGTTTCCAGCTGAGTGGCTGGTCCCACTGTTGTGTCCAGGGGCATGAACCTTCCTTGGCCAGCTGGCTGGGCAATGGCAGAGCCAGCTTTGCTGATCTCTCTTGCCGCACACCAGGTTGGCCTTGGCCTTGGAGAACCCCAGGGCATCCCAGTCCTACAAGATCTGGACTTGTCTCGGGAAAGAGCTGCACCTCTTCTTGGAGGAGGCAAAGCCCACCTGCTTGCTGCCTGACTGCTTAGTGAGGACTGTCAACGCTCCTGCCCAATGCCAACCCAGCCCTGAGGTGTGCGCTGGGATACTTGGGTCCCCCCTCCCAGCCAGCGCTGCCCAAAGGGGAGCTTTCTGGGAGGGATCTGAATGGGGAAGTGGCTCTCTACTGCTCGGCATGCTCCCTTCACCCCTGGTCTTGGTGCCCTCCCACACACCCCCAGCCTGGGGTGGCCCTCCTTCCCCCACAGCGCTAACTCTCTGCCCTGCTCCTTTTCCCCAGGGATTTCCGCCGAGCCAGCCCGTCCAGCCGGGAGGCCGGGAAAGCAGATCAGCCGACGGCCCCCTCAGCCCGAGACCAGCGGAAAGCAAGGTGGGAACCGGTCTCGGAGCCCGCCAGAGACATGCCCACCTCTCTTATGGGCACACCTGAGCTTAGGGCTCCTCCCTCCCACCGGCATGTTCCCGACCCTCCAGCCCCCCAGGGCTAGGGGCACCCCTTACCAGAGGGCGCCCAGCAAAGTCTCCTTTCCCCTCTCTACAAAGTTTCCTACAGCAACAGGCCTGGTATCTCTTCTTTCCTCTCACTAACTCCTTCTTTCTCCCAGGCCTCAAAGGGATCCCCATGGGGGACACTGTCAGGGATGTCTCTCCCTCACCAGCCTGCTTTTACTGTGCCCAGGCCCTCTGTGTCCCTTCAAAGCAGAGCCAAGCATCGGCAGAGCCGTGGAGGGGACGGCCTCTCTCATGGGAGAGAATGTAAAACCCATGTGTAGTAGACGCTTTGGTAGGACCTACCAAAATGGTGATGAACAACTGCCCTGCTGGCTCCCACAGTGGGGGCAAAGCCATCTGCTTTACCTTCCCGAAGCAGGACTGGTTTCATTAGAGCAGGAGAGCAGGATCAGGGAGGCTCCTCATGGGGGGGCACCCAGCACCCAGCCTATCCTGACAGTGTCTTCCCCTTGAATCTCTCTCCTGCAGACTAACATGGGTCAGTGCATGGGTTCTGTGCAGCCCTGGGTATCACCTACCAAGCCTGAATCTCCCCATTACCTCCCTTATACTTTGCTCTCCCCTGTGACCCAAACACACACATCCCGTTCCCCTTTGGAGGGAGAGCAGCAGATAGGGAGAGTTTGATGCTCTCAGCCATGAGCATCTCGGTGGCTGGGGGCACTCTCGCCTCATGCCGCCGCTGGAAGCTAGCCACACTGCTCTGAGATGGTTCCATTGCTCTTCTGTGGCCAATTGGTGAAACACTATTGCCAAGGGCAGTCCCATAGGGGTCCCAAAAGGCTTCGCCATTCCTCTCCTCAATGGGCCTGTCCCAGGGACAGGCTGCAGTGCCCATCAGCTGAGGGCAAAAAGCAGGAAGGCTTCCCATTGAGGCTGTCCCTACTCATACCCTGCCCTGGGGCTGGGCTAAGAACTGGTCTAAGACCTCCATAGGGTGACCTATGGAACTGGTCAAAGACTCTCCATATGGTGACCTTTCATCCCACCCTAGCCACTGCAGATTTGGTCTCCAACTGCCTCCTTTCACCCTCTATCCCATCGCAGCAGGGCCTTGCCTTGGACTGGCTCTGGTCACAGCCAGAGTGAATGCCACCCTCCCTCCTGAGCACTCAGCACATCTCGGCCCCTCACACTGGGAGGTGGAAGAGCAGGACTCCTAGCCTCTCATTTTAGAGAAATCTGGTTCTAGCCAGTGCCTGGGCATTGGTTTGGTTTCCTCCAGTTACTGCCTGGCACCCACTGCCTTTCCTCCCTCCACAGCCCCCTGCTCCTGCACAACTACAGCTCACTGTGCCTGGTGCAACTTTACAGGGGTCGTCGGCATCTGCTTTCCATGAAGATCATGCATTTTGAGCAATGAGGGTCTAAAGGCTGTCCCAGCATCCACCAAGTCATTCTATTTACCACGCAGCTCTGGCACTGGGATGGGCTTGCAGGTTTCCTTTTGTCTAGCTAGTCCAGCCTGCTTGGGCAGGTCAAGTTTTGCGGTCGGGGCCAGGGGTACATTTGAGAGCTGAGTTATCCCAATAAAGGATTTACCCACCTCAGGAGAGCAGAGGCTGGCAGGGGACCTTGCAGAAGAGTTTGTGGAGATGGGAACGGCTGTGCCAAGGGGCCTGCCCCGTGCAGCACCAGGGCTGGGGCCATCTCTGCACCTGGTCCAAACCAGTCTCTGGAGTCTGGGCGGCCAGGCTGGGCTAGTATGCCCTGGCTGCTCCCCTGGACTGAGGCCATGGTGCCAGGAAGAACTGACGTGAGCAAATCCTCTCGTGGAACATGTGGACGGAAGAAGAGTGCTCCTCACTTCCAAACCATCAGCTCTCTGTCCTGTCCTGTCCTCCTGGACCCTGGGTACCCTACGAAGATGCTGCTCATCCTTTTGACAGGCCTTGAGGGAGCAGTTGCTACAATGTTTTTGGGTCCTGTTTCAAAGCCAGGATGTGGGACTGAGTGGGCAGCTCTGCCAGCCCAGCTTCATTATGTTGGCCTTGGTGAGTGCCCAGGCATGCTGAGGGCTACCGTGTGGCCCGGGCTGCTGTGTGGGCTGCCAGCAGGTGCTGTGTGTGAACAGGCTGTCTTGTTGCTGCTTCATCCTCTCTTTGGGGTTCTGCATGCCAGGGAGCCCTGTGTGCCCAAAACTGTTGTGACAGCCGATTTCATGTGTGTCTCTGGGAGGCAGACTGCGTTTAGTGCCTGACATGGGGGTGTGCGGCAGTGGCGGGGTTTGCTGTCTGTCGCTTTTGCCCGGGGAAGGCAGAGGCAACAGCAGGGAGAGCATCTCCTAACAGAGCAGACCAGTTGGCTCCAAATCCCACCAGGGCTGAGCTCAGCACTTTGTGGCGATGCCATCCCAGCAGTGACCACTCATGGGTGACAAACTGCTCCTCACTGGAATGTGCTGGGTCTGGCAGCAGATGTGCCCATGACTGAATACTGCCTGTCAAAGCAGCTACTGTTGGGGGCTCCTGGAGCAGTAAAAGCAGCCTCTGCAATATACAGCTGGCCAGGACCCACGTGCCCCTGGACCAAGGAGGTGACTGGGAAGGAGCAGCACTGGAGTATGGCCGTATTTGCCAAGAAGCAGATGTGGGAGATGCCCCATTTTCAGTCTGGTGGTTCTGGTGGGTCTAGAAGCAGCAATGGATCAAGGCTGTGGAGGGGATGGACCAGCATCCGGCAACATCAGAGGAGAAGCTCACTGGGGCCTCAGCTCTCCTGGGAGTCCTGCAGAACCCTGAGGTGGTCTATCCACATCCATGCTGGGCACAGTGCATCCTCTCTCCTTCTGGCAACAGGCAGTGTTTTGTAGCTGCTGTGCTCCACCCCCACCTCCGGAAGAAGCTGCATTTCCAGCAGGCACAGCTGGCCTCTGCATTGGAAGGTGCCCCAGGGATGGAAGGGAAAGATGTGATACACTCTTTATTTTGCTTCCTTCTCCAGGATTACATCTTCTACCTGGAGCCAGACAAGCTGGAGTCAGGCAAGGGAAAATGCTCCTATGACCCCAAAGTAGACACCGTCTCTGCATTAATAAGTGAGTCCTGTATCTTTGCAAGGCCAATGTTGCCTGGGGATAGGTAGGGGAGACATACAGCTGAGATAGGTTGGCTGTTCCAGTCATCTCACTCTTCATTGCCAAAATATCCCCAATAAGTTGAGCTCCTGCCCCTCCCCCCGCTTGCTTCAACTGCAGCTGGTCAAGATGTCCCTGGGCATCCAAAAAGATCTGATTCTACAGATGGGGGCTTTCCTTACAGGCCAGTAACAACCTCCCCTGCTCTCCTACATGGCCTCAGGCACTTTCTCTTGGGCAACATATTCCCTAAGGACTAACAGCCAGGGTGGGACCTGAGGGTGGGAAAGAAGGATGTGTTGGGGGCCCCATGGGACTGGCTGATCTCTGGTCTCCCACCTGCAGATGAAGAGCTCTATGCCGGTGTCTATATCGACTTCATGGGCACTGATGCAGCCATCTTCCGCACCATGGGCAAGCAGACGGCCATGAGGACGGACCAGTACAATTCACGCTGGCTAAATGGTGAGTTTAGGGTGTCCTTGGCTCAGCTCACTGTTTCCAGTGACCCCACTACACTGCATCCTTCTCCCACGCTAGAGAGACGGCTAGCATGGGCAGGCAGACAGGTGGTATGGGGTGGATGGACAGATGAATGGATGGATGGATGGAGGAATCTGGGCTGGAAGAGGGAACTAAAGAGGTCTCTTTGGGGACAGATTGATGGATGGATGGATGGACGGATGGATGGACGGATGGATGCATGGATGCCTGGTGGGAATGTCCTAGGACAGATGGATGGAGAGATGTCTGTGTGGGGCGTGGTGACAGATGGCTGGTGGTGCCAGGGGCTTGCTGGGCAGTGGGAGTGGCCAGCTGGTGGGCAATAGGGCTGGCTCTGTCGGAGCCCGTGCCTGGGTTTGTGCAGGGGTGAGATGTCAACCATGTCGCCTGCAATCAGTGACCCTGAACACTCATCCTGCCCCCCTTGGAGCCCCCCCCCAGCCACAGGGCAGCTGAGGCAGCTGAGTAAACAGAGCAGAGCAGATCGGATGATCCTACTGGGCCTGGGAGCTGTCAGGGCAGTAACCCAAAGAGGGGGAGCTGTCAGCATGGGCTGGGGACGAGCTGATGGATGGCAGGGAAATGCTTCCTGCCGAGCTGTGTGGATCCCTCCCGAGGGGGGAAACTGGTTCCCACGACCCTGCTGTCAGAGCCCCTGGAGCCCTGGACCCTGCAGACCTCGGGGCTAAGGATGCTCTGATCCCCTGCAGACGTGGAGCACTGATGACCACAGGAGAGAGCCATCTCAGGGGTGACCCTGGAGCCCCTGGTTCCTCAGACACAGCTGAGAGTTGGTTCAAGGGTCTTGGTGCAGCTCCTGTGACCACCGCAGTGGTTTCCGGGGGTGGGTTGATGCTGGCGGGCTCAGCATCCTGTTGATCCCTCCCCCCCCCAGCATGCTGGGGGGCACTGGCATCACCTGGGCCAGGTGGACTGCCAGTACTGCTGGGCTGACTGTGCCATGCTATTCCAGACCCAGCGTTCGTCCATGCCCAGCTCATCCCCGACAGTGGCGAGAGGAATGATGACAAACTCTACTTTTTCTTCCGGGAAAAATCGGCTGATGCCCTGCAGAGTCCAGGTGTCTACTCCCGCATCGGGCGCATTTGCCTGGTACGTGTGCTGGCCTGTGGCCATACGGGGAGCTGTGTGGGCAGGGGTATGGGGTGATGGTGGGCCTGAGGCTCATTTTGGGGGATCCTTCTGCCGCAGAATGATGATGGGGGCCACTGCTGCCTGGTGAACAAGTGGAGCACATTTCTGAAGGCCCGACTTGTCTGCTCTGTGCCGGGACCTGATGGGATTGAAACACACTTTGATGAGCTCCGTGAGTGGGAAGGGCTCCATGAGGTTGGGGAGGGTTGGGACTGTTTTGACAGCCAGAGTCTTTCTGCATCCACTCCCCACCTCCACTCCCTGGCACCCTGTCTCCTGGGGAAGGCCAGGAGTCTATTCCTGTCCCCAGCTCTTACCAACTGTGCCCTCTCACCGGGAGGGGCCAGAGGAGCTGGGAGCTACGTTCACCCTGGTGCTCCCTCTTGCTGCCCTGGTACCCACGGCAATGTAGTCCCTGCCCATCTTCCTGCTGGTGACATGCTCTTCCTTCTCCCCCAAGAGGACGTCTTCATCCAGCAGACACAGGATACCAAGAATCCCGTCATCTACGCTGTGTTCTCTGCTTCAGGGTAAGTGCTGTCACTCCTGTGGCAGCCATACCATGTGGCTGCATGGGGTCCCAAGGCTAGCTTGTGGGCTCCAGAGGCCACTGCACATGGGTGCCTGCCAGGGCCAGAGCCACCCACCCCCACGAAGCAGTCTGGAGGGTTGGCTGAAGTCAGCACCCCCACCCCAGTTGCCTTGCAGTGCCCATCGGGGGTCCTGGCAATGCTGGAGCAGCGCAGCACAAGGAGGGGGTGGGTTGCTCTGCTGGGGTTCCTGGCAATGCCAGCCTGAGGGCAATACCAGATCCTTAAGCCTGTGCTGACTCCCCTCCTTCCAGATCCGTGTTCAAAGGCTCCGCTGTGTGTGTCTACTCCATGGCCGACATCCGCATGGTGTTCAATGGGCCCTTTGCACACAAGGAGGGCCCCAACTACCAGTGGATGCCCTACACAGGCAAAATGCCCTATCCCCGGCCAGGCACCGTAAGTACCCCTCCAGGCACGGGGGTCTCCAGCCGGCATAACAGCAGGTGGAATGGGGAAGAGGGTTTGCATGCGCCCAGCAGACGAGGGAGCCAGCGCCCTCCCTGTGCCTGGGGTAGCTCAGATCCTGACCATAACAGGGGACTGGCCCAGGCACAGCCCCAGGGAGGAGAGGCCAGGCAGGTCTGTTTTCTGGGCTAGTGCGAGCACCCTGCCTGGGGGCCCCGGAGTATGGAAGATGTTTCACCTAGACCTGCCCTGTGTTGCAGTGCCCCGGGGGGACCTTTACACCATCCATGAAGTCAACCAAGGATTATCCTGATGAGGTGATTAACTTCATGCGTGCGCATCCGCTGATGTACCACGCCGTGTACCCAACCCACCGCCAACCACTGGTTGTGCGCAGCAACGTCAACTATCGCTTCACCACCATCGCCGTTGACCAGGTGGATGCGGCAGATGGGCGCTATGAGGTGCTTTTCCTGGGCACAGGTACCCATGCCGCGCACCGCAGAGAACACAGCATGCACCAGTGCCGCCTGGGAGGGCAGGGGCACCGCCACAGCTGGCGAGATCACAGTGCCTTCCACTCTCTCCACATCCCACGTTAGAGCAGGGCAAGGGGCTGAGACTCCTGTGCCATGGGTCCTACAGTCCAGCCTGGTCCTTTCCCTGTCCCAGCATCCATCCCAGGGCCCTGTGATCTAGTCTGGTCCTTTGCCTGCCCCAATGCCCATCCGAGGGCTGTGTGATCCAGCCTGGTCCTTCTCCTGCCCCAGTGACCATCTGAAGGCTGCATGATCCAGCCTGGTCCTTCCCCTGCCCCAGGGCCCATCCCAGGGCCCCGTGATCCAGCCTGGCTTTTAGCCCCACCTCCCTTGGGGAAGTAGGCCATTCTGCATCCTGCAGCAAGTCTCAGCCTGGAGGCTATTCCCCAGTGAGTTACTGGTGCACCCTCAGCTGGGCTCTTTGCTTCTGAGCCGGCGGCAGAGGCTGATGCACTGGCTGCTGGATCCCCCCTGTTCTGGGCAGCAGCAGTCCCTAGTGAGGGGCAAGTACTTGAGCTGGTGCACTGCACCCCAGACACAGTTGCCTACTGCAGCACTATGGGGATGGAGTTGGAGTTGGGGGCCCTTCTGACCACCCCCCCAGCAGGGACCACCTTCCCAGGAGGGTGGAGAATGCAGGTGCCCAGCCTGTGGCACTGAACAGCCATGCACCATGGTGTCTTGCAGATCGAGGCACTGTGCAGAAGGTCATAGTGCTGCCCCGGGATGACATGGAGACTGAGGAGTTGATGCTGGAGGAGATCGAGGTGTTCAAGGTAAGGGCCAATCTCTCCTGCACCTTCCTCGGGGCTCTGAACACCCCTAGCCTGGCCTTTTCCCACTGCCTTGGCCTGCCCCATGCTGGCCTGGAGCCGATGGGACACCTATCAGCCCCTTGACTGGCTCTGGAGGGGTCTCGTTCCAGATGCAAAGTGTTCCCCCTCCTGCCTCCTCTGCCCTGGCACCCTCACAGCTGTCTCTGCCCTGCCCAGCTGCTCGGGGGGGGGGGCGTGGACACACACCCTGGGGCTGCAGCATCAGGCTGAGTGGCTCATCAGCCCCTCAATATCCTTAACTTGTGCTTCCTTCTAGGTACCGGCACCCATCAAGACGATGACCATCTCTTCCAAGAGGGTGAGTCACAGAATGTGGCTGAATGGCAGGGGAGCACCGAGCAGCCCCTGGGGAAGTGGTGCCCAGCTGTAGTACTGCCCAGGCACCACCGCAGTGCAAAGAGAGTGAGCCATGGATGGGGAAAAGCTTGTGGGTAGCTCCAGAGTGAGATGCCTTTGGTGACTCTGGGATGTGCTGCCTCAGGTGTCCCTGGGTAGCTCCAGGACAAGCTGGCTCTGGTGGTCCCAGGTGCCAGGAGGCCACAGGTTGTTCGAGTGGTCCTTCTGGGATTGGGATGAGGCTGTGTCCCTGGGTAGTGTCTCACACTGTCCTCTCTGATCCCCCAACAGCAACAGCTTTACGTGTCCTCAGCTGTAGGGGTGACCCACCTGGCCCTGCACCGGTGTGATGTGTACGGGGAAGCCTGTGCTGACTGCTGCCTGGCCCGAGACCCCTACTGTGCCTGGGATGGCAAGGCTTGCACCCGTTACTCCGCATCTTCCAAGAGGTATGGGGGGCCAGGGACAAGCAGCAGGTGGCAGGGAGGGACCCATGGGCTATGGGCAACCCCATGGAGGTTCCCTAGGTCATCTCCTGCCTCCCCACAGACGGAGCAGGCGGCAGGACATCCGGCACGGCAACCCCATCCGCCAGTGCCGAGGCTACAACTCCAACGGTGAGCAAGTACCATGGGGCTGAGGCGAAGGCAGAGGAGGCAGTTGGGAGGGCTGGGTTGAGGGGGCAGGCCATGGGGGTCCAGGGCAGGGGGGTGAGGTGTGGTTATGCTGAGGGCAGGGGGCAGGAAAAGTGTGGACAACAGCCAGATGGGGCGATGGATGGGAGGATGCATTTGCAGAGGATGAGCACAGCTGGATGGCCAGCTGGCTGTATACCTTTGTTGGAAGGACAGATACACTGGGGGAGGAACACAGTTGCTGGGTGGATGAAGAGCCAGTGCATCCATGGTTGGTTTTGAAAGGGGGGGAAGAAGCACTTAGAGAGAAGGTGGGTAAGGTGAGATGGGGTCCTGGAGCATGCTGCTCTCCCTCAGTGGGGTGGGCTGGGGGCACGGGGTGAACATGCGCTGACCTGGCCACCTGCACCTGCCCCTACAGCCAACACGAACACTGTGGAGGCTGTGCAGGATGGGGGGGAGGGCAGC